TGTCCAGCATGGTGAGGACTGCTGCCTGTTTAGTCTATGGCCGAATCTCTGAAGTGGTGCCGAATCTTTTCCAAATCGATTCGGAGGCTTCTGATTGATTCGGATTCAGAGATTCGGCCACCGAATCGAGCCAAACCTCCTCCAAAGCAAATCAGCTACCAAAGCTTCACAGAGCCCTATTGTAAGGTCCCTTCTAGCCTCTAACATCTATGAATCTAAGTGTTTGCCTCTCTTTTGTGCTTTGAACTCTCAGGATAAGCACAAAAGAGAAAGCCAGGCTCCTTACAGTGGGTGGAAAGGCCTAACACAACTGTGCTTGATATGTTAAAGATAAAATTAAATGCAGCGGGGGTGGAGGGGGTGAACAGCATGTAGACTAGGCTTGTAACCTCTTTTCTGCTGGGCAACCGAATACACTGATGAGTGAAGACAGCTTACAGTGGCTGCCCTTTCAGATAACATCACCTCATTTGTTGCCGTGTGTCTGATACTTCCTGTGCAAAGCCGCATCCATGTTCCTTCTGACCAGGTGGTCCTCAGCCCTATCGCACTGTTTTCAATTAATTTATTGCATATGGATTAAATGTTTCTGAGGTTTGGCATTTCTGAGCCCCCAAGTATTACATAAGCAGAACAGCAGATGTGTAGAGCTGCTGTAGTGAAAGCTAGAGCTGAATAAAAAATTTCCAACAGAACTTCACTCCCTCCAAAAATGGCTGCTTCTTCTTTTTTTTGTTTTTGCAATCAATGTGTTCTTCGGGAATATTGATTTCAATGAAATTTTGTTTTGAAAAAAATTAATTTGAAGTGAAGCCTTTCCCTAAGGTTGAAATGCTCCATTTCAATCGTTGAGGATTGCAGTGCATTGTTTCTTTCATTTGATTGATTTTTACAGTCTAAATTACAATATAAACATTTCTGAAATTGATATCGGAGCACAGTGTCGCCATGTTATCAAAACAGCGCATTTAATTTGCCCCCAAAACCATTTGTTCTGACATTTTTGGCAAAACAAATTTTTCAAAATGTCTTGCCCTCACTCTATTTTGTCATGCAAACAAATGTTAAAGGGCACTAATATGAGAGGACTAATGCCACAACACCACTGGCTGATGTTACGGATGGAGATTAGAGGTGTCTCGGAGCTAGTAGAGGCCTTAACTGCCCACATATGGGGCACTCCGTCTTTGGCTGCCAAACCTGAGATTTCTTGGGCCCGATTTCCTGAGACACAGATTGCTAGTAGCTCATGATAAGAACAGTAGCAGGTGTCTTAGGGGCTGGAAGAGACCTTAGAAATCATTGGGTTCAGCCCCCCTACACTTGGGCAGGAAAGACCACTGGACCCCAGAAAGATGGGCATCAAGATGCTTTTTGAAGATCGCCGGGATGGATGTGTTCACTTTGGATCTTAGATCTCATATAGAGTAACCCAAGATCAAGGATGTCCCACTGACCGCTCTACAGCTGGCTCTAGTAAGTGGTGTTAGGCTATCCTTTTCAGGACTAGAAATTGCTTTCTGATAGAGGCCTCAAAATTCATGTGTTACTCTCCATCTTCCCCTGCCTCCCTAACGCTCTCCTGTAGCAACAAGGGTCTGAATGCAGCCTTCAGCAATGTTCCTCCTTTACTAGGCCAAACAGATTGCTAGCGAGTGAACCGACGCGTTCCTTACCTCCAGCGCTCTGTGGACTGGCTCTGAAACATTTCCACCCCTTGCACAGAGCCCAGCACATAACAGGAGCCAGCTCCAGTGCAGAATCTCTCTGTCTCTTGTCAATGCATTTCTTTCACGCATCCATCAGTACAGCGCAGCCACGTGGATCTTCGCTCCCTTGCACCGCACCGTGCTGAGCTTTCCCTGCACAGCTGGGCCCGTTGCTTCCAATCATTCATTTTTAAAAGAAGGATGCTATTGGGTAATTATCACAAAGGGACACTGAAAGGGAATTTGAAGAAATTTGGCAGATAACATGTCACCACTGTAGACGTTAGAACGATGTTCTCATCAACAACCAAACCTGCAGGCCATGCTGTCTCCCTGCACCTGCTTTCCTCCGGCTCCGTTAGGAAATGATGTTTCTTTGAATCGTGCAACTCTTGCTTTACCTCCTAGTTCTTGGACAGATTGGTGGTACAACCCGACTATTCTTTTTCAAGCTTTGAGCAGTGTGTGAAAGATGTGAATGCCTTGTACCTTTTCCAGGGTTTTTATCTACCCTAGCTGCATTTTTCTAGGCACCATTCAGACGCATGCAATTTCTTACTTGCCAATATTTTGGGGGTATCAGCGGGTATTCTACATCAGTCTTGTTCCCCTAGCCTTTACCTAAGGACTACGATTTCCACTGAATTTCAAGACTCCTTTTTCCAAGCCGAATGGGAAATGACAAGTGAAGTAAAACATTTTTAAAAAAGAGTGAAGTGTTCAGAATCGCTGAATAAACAGCATCTCCTACCAGCTCATGCAAGAGCTGTGAAAAAACAGTTTGAGGTTTGCCTTATTTTATTTGGATTTTGATCACCTGGGTTTATACACCCCGGATTTTTGCTTTGAGTTTGGGGTTTGAGCAAACCTGAGAGTCAAACATTGCCAAAACCACAAACTTCCATCCAGTTTCACACTGAGACCAACAGAGATCACACCTGTAGCTTGATTGCAGAACAAGCCTGTAAATCAGTGCAGATTTGCTTTGGAAGGGTTATGAACCTCACTGAACCTGCCAGCAAACCCGAACTGAGTTCACGCGTGTAGTGAAACCCAAAGCAAAGGGAATCAGATTTTGCATGTTTGTCATTGAAGCTCAGGTCCTTCCTTCAGCCCTTAAGCTTGGGTTTCGGTGCCAGTGGGCGAGTGGTGTAATGTGATCCAAAATGATACGAAAGCATTTCGGTGCCATATGAAAAATGGTAATTAATTTCTGCTTTTATTGATGCATAGAATTTCCAGTGCAACGAAGCTATGTTCGAGGCCGTGGAGCAGCAGGACTTGGATGCCGTTCAGATTCTCCTCTATCAATACACCCCAGAGGAGCTGGATCTAAACACACCAAATAGCGAGGGTTTAACACCCTTGGACATTGCCATTCTAACAAACAACGTGCCCATCGCGAAGATCCTTCTGAGGATCGGAGCAAAGGAGAGTCCGCACTGTAAGTAAAGAATTACAAATTGCATTGCGTCCCGCTTGGGGAAGTTTAATTAAATTGCCTATAAACTTTGACTGATTTCATTTTAATGTGGACATAGCCAGCTATGTCACCGTGACAACAGTTGCAGGGATATTTGTTTGCTGAGCACAAGCTCAGTAGATGTTATCTGCTGGTACTAAAAGGCGCTAGAGATGCAGTATTTAAGACATTCGAGCTGTGAGTTGCAGAGAAGAAACTGGCTGGAAAGTAATGGGATATTGCGGGAGTGGTCTCAGCAACGCAGTCACTCGCTCTGTATTTCACGTATGGTTGAAAGAGGGAAGCACTGGAACCACGCTGAAACCGTGAAACAACGTATAGCCAGAAAAAATATTGTTAAAATAGTGTTCTGTTGGAAAACTGTCTTTTTGACAAAACTGAAATGTTTTCCAGAATTTTTACTGGCTTTTACACATTTTTTTGTTTTGGAAAAATGACTAAAACGTCAAAGTGTCTCATCTTGTCAGTTTTGAAGTTAAAGGCTTTGCTTTGTCATTTCAAAACTTAATTTTATGGCCAAATTTAAAAGGGTCAAAATGAAATGAAACATTTTGAAGGTATGTAAACAGACTGTTTTGCTTGACCCAGACAGTTTTTTGGAAATTGTTTCACTAGAAACTCTGAAATATTGGTTGTTCTTTCTGGTTCAGGCCAAAACCAAAAGCTTTTTTTTTTAATCCAAGAATTTTGCAGAACAGGAAATTAATTCTCGAATTCTAGCTTCCTACTGGGTTCTACCCAGAGGTAAGCCAATGTCCTGTCACCAGCAGTGGCAAGTAGCACATGCTTTAAAGGAAGAATATAAGAAACAGGGTAGAGTGATCCTTTATCAAACCCTCCCTACTATCGGTAGGTGGTATCCCTGACTGTTATGCCCCAGATACTGATTCGGTATTGTGTGTGTTTATTTTGAAGTCACTACCTGATCATTTTATTGAGTGTCCCTTACTGCTTTATATTTATATCTATATAAATATGCATTTCCACACCATTCATGATTTTATAAAGGGCAGATTCTCCCTCTTCAGCCATCTCTCTTTCAGGGGAAGAGTCCCAGTGTTTTTTATTTCATTTCGTAACTCTGATTATCTTTGCTGCCCTTCTCTGTGCCTTTCCTAGTACTACTAGGATCCTTGGCAAAGTCTTTGAATCCTTGGCAAAGTCTTTGAAAAAATTATCAAGGCTCACATTTGTGAGAGCCCGGCAGGACAAATTATGCTGAGGGGAAACCAGCCCGGGTTCATGGCAGGCGGATCGTGCCTGACCAATCTAGTCTCTTTTTATGACCAGGTTACGAAACGCCTAGATACAGAAGGAGGGGTGGACTTAGGCTTCAGGAAGGCCTTCGTTACGGTATCCCACCCCATACTGGTGAACAAGTTAAGAGGCTGTGACTTGGATGACTACACAGTCCGGTGGGTGGTGAATTGGCTGGAGGGTCGCACCCAGAGAGTCGTGGTGGATGGGTCGGTTTCGACCTGGAAGGGTGTGGGCAGTGGGGTCCTGCAGGGCTCGGTCCTTGGACCGATACTCTTTAATGTCTTCATCAGTGACTTGGACGAGGGAGTGAAGTGTACTCTGTCCAAGTTTGCAGATGACACAAAGCTATGGGGAGATGTGGACACGCTGGAGGGCAGGGAACAGCTGCAAGCAGACCTGGACAGGTTGGACAAGTGGGCAGAAAACAACAGAATGCAGTTCAACAAGGAGAAATGCAAAGTGCTGCACCTAGGGAGGAAAAATGTCCAGCACACCTACAGCCTAGGGAATGACCTGCTGGGTGGCACGGAAGTGGAAAGGGATCTTGGAGTCCTAGTGGACTCCAAGATGAACATGAGTCAGCAGTGTGACAAAGCCATCAGAAAAGCTAATGGCACTTTATCGTGCATCAGCAGATGCATGACAAATAGGTCCAAGGAGGTGATACTTCCCCTCTATCGGGCACTGGTCAAACCGCAGTTGGAGTACTGTGTGCAATTCTGGGC